TAAACTTGCCAGCTTACAGCTCCACAAATGCCAAGAGAATACTGCAGATTTGCTTTCAGTTTAGCAGTCAAATGCTTGGCACTGAGGCAGGTAACAGGAATTTTGTAAGGCAAGCTATCTCCCCCAGCCTGGGGGGTGCTCCCAGAGCACTGTATAGGCCCTATATATGCACTATATTCAGGTGCACAATGGGCTGCCACAGACTTGGCAGACTCCATCGATGTACTGTGTTATTTTGGTTTTTCTATTTCTTTTCTTTTTTGTTGTTGTTTACTTCTTAAGTAAATTAATTTCCCCAAGATATGGTGCCTAACGATCTGACTATCCATGATATGCTTCAAATACTGGAATACATTAGACTATAAGAAGGCCCTATGGTGATTTGCTAATTAGCTTAACCCTTTTGGGACACGGAAGAAGGAATTTTTTATTAAAACAGGATAACCCTGGACTATATTGATCTGACTGAGAAATGAGTATTTTAGTCAAGATGAGTCTCAAGATGAGTACATGCTGGAAACGGTGATGTTGTTTCCATAGCAATGCCATGACAGCCTCTCGAGTGAAATAGTGTGCTACCAGGAAATGAAGGGAGTTCAAGTGCTATGAGCTACATAGTTCTGTGAGCAATCCAAATACATTCTCATAAAGAATATTTAGTACAGCTAGATAGTCCGAAGATTGCTGCTGATGTGAAGTAAGCCTTATCAGTATGCTTCCAGCAGTCCTATGTTCTCATTCACTACACCCAAGATGACTTATCTAAAGGCTTAAGCTATGGGCAACACTGCTAAGCCATTTCAGACCAAACATTAACAAATACAGCAACCTTTACCTCACTTTGTTCCAGTGAAGAATATCATCCATAATTAAGGACACTGACTCTCGTTCTCCGTAACAAAACCAAACACATTAAACCTTGTAGCGAAGAAAAGCCTCATATGTGCAATTATTTACCAGCTGACCTTCCCCCTTCCTTTTCTCTCACCTCCTCCTCTCCCTTGCCTCCTCCTGCCCAAACGATACTGAGCAAATCTGCTTGCAAGTGGGAAGCAACGTTCAGTAGTCTTGCATATTCCTCATGAAAATTTACACAGCCATAGCATAAAACTCACTTGTCTGCTTTTTACCCCAGTTAGTGTTATGCTAATACAAAAGCAAACCAGAAAACCGCTAATTGTATTTTATTTGCCTAAGGCTTTACCTAAGGCAAATATTCTCATCAAATTCTGCAAAGCTGATTTAAAATATTTTCCAAAGGAGACAGAAAGAGAATTAACTTAAGATCTACATGGCTTTGTCTTTGCATTTTCAAAGAAATGAACAATTCTCAGTGATTTGTAAAACTGCTAAAATAATGGTTATAACACAACGGTTCTCAAATAAAATTCTACAAGACACAGTACTTTACTTGAAAAACACCCTAGCATACTACTGCTAATCCATTCTTTCTCCAGCGTTTCCCATGCAATTTGTAAAGATGTTCAGACATGAGCTGAATGTCCAGAAACTCTACCACAGTATTTCTTGTCTGTGTCATTGCCACAACCAGCCTCCTGGATAAACAGATTGTAGTTCATTATATGTAGCACCGCTGCCTCTGAGGGAAAGTAGAAAGACAAGTACACATCACTGCCAGATCCCGTATTAACAAATGCCACTTCAAACCAAAATGTTTTCCATTTATTGTTTTAAACAAGTATTTCAAGGAATCAAGTCTTGCATGTAAAACAGCAAGATGCTTCATCTCCATTTTGCATCTAGTAAAGAGATGTGAGGCAAGCATTTTTAAAACTGGCTGAACCTCCTCCTGCCTGTCCTCCTAAGTGTGCTGCAGAACGCACTAAGCCCAACAACATTCATTTATAATTTAAACTGTTTGCCTCGCAGAATTTTTTCATCTTAATATGTCTAGTCCTAACTGCAACTGGCACACACAATGTTTTTACCAGAAGCTCATATACTTCCAGCAGAGTTTTATGTAACTGTGTTTTCTGTAGGACAGATGGGACAGATGTTGAAATCTAGTGGAAAACACGCCTCTGCAATTTTACAAGGACTTACAGGGCTCTATATGGACAAAAAGATGCCTGTGGATAGACTGATGCAAGTTTAACTTTCTCATCCCCATCTTCCAGTTATTGTGTTCTCCCAGTTAATTCCCCAATATGAGCAATATTCCTGAACTAACTCACCTTCTTTCGGAACACCTATCTCAACTTTTCTGTTTATCAAAGAACTAAAAGTAATCTGCCTGATGATCTGGTTTGGACAATTGAGTACAGGTACAGCTTATATTGCCTGAAACAGAAGTGGATACAGCCTATTTAACTCGTCCTGCTCTCTTGAATATATACTGGTATCCAGCCACAAAAGTCAATCTGCTGCCACCATGGCCAGCTTAGCAAGAACAGTTTGCCCCTAACACTGATCATCCCTTTACCTAGTGTTCTCTCCTATCACTGCCTAAACTCTCTCATCACAGTCCTCCCAGATGTTTGTTCATGTGTATCTAAAAGAAGCAGCAATATCTGTATCCCAATCCAGGACAGAAATCCAGTTATCCCAAAGTCATCCACATAAGTATCCCAAAGCCACTCAGATAGGGGAAAAGTTTCCTATCCCAAAACTCAGAAACACACTCTTAATTTCCCCCTCATCAACATTCTGAGAACATACTCAGAAATTGAGCATGCTACTATAAATTGTATCATGTTTTAAGAGTTAAATCAATGATTCAATCAGAAACTCTAAAACACTTTTTATTAGTAAATATTCAACGGCAGGAGTGTGCTAAAGCTTGAGTTCACGCAGCTGTCACCAAATATAGCAGTTGAACATGCAGGAGTAGAAGCAATAACATCCTAAACAGTTATTCAATCTCAAATAATTTTGCTATCCATGCTGTTTAATCAAGACATATCGTAGTAGTTACGAACATAAGACTAAGTCTGTTTTTCAGCTCCTTCCTAGTATATTGCTAGAATTTGAATCATCATTGGAGGCCAAGTGCTTCTGAAGCCTGCATACAAGTGTTTTGATACAAAGGGCAAATGAAATATTGTTAACCAGGGCTATAACATTTATACTTTTCATAAGCAATTTCTTTAAATTTTCTGCCTCAATTTCCTCATCCACAAAATAGTAGAGAAAATCATCTATCTACCAGCCTCTTAATCTTTTGCAAGGATAAGCTGATCAACGTATATACAGGATGTGAAGATAAAAAGCTCTGCATAAATGCTAGGAATTATTTTACACTACCATATTCACAATGCTTTTGTTCTGATTGTATCAATACTCCCATACTAAGCCTTTTCTTTTCAAGGATTTACACACATTTGGGGTTTAAAAATTAATTTGGGGCTGATATTTCTGTCAGTAAGCTCTGAGCGTGGCAAATGACTTAATAAAAACTCACGTTGTCCTCATGAACTATAACAACTATTTATTTGGCTTTTTAAAACTTGTCAGAAATATTTCTCTTGGCAGCCCGTAGTTCATAAAACAGCTTTTAACACAACAAAAGGGATTGCCAAAAGCAAAGGCTTATCTTGCATAAGTACTCTGGAATGTGATCTGGTTATCATACACAGACACAGAGATATTGCTGTGCTTGGTCTGACTCACCGCTCTGCTTTAGAAGAAAGAGGAGGATACACAGTAGAGTAAAACACACAGTAGCCACGTATAAAAGTGTCCAGGACAGAGACAAGACTGGAGGGTGAAGCTACAGTGAGGAGGACACTGTCAGGAGCCATGCTGCTACTCCATATAGGCATGCTGGCAAACAATTTTCCCACTCTCTTCTCTCTTACTAAAGAATGGAAGTACAGCTGCTTGGATATTGAAGGCAGACATAGCTGGACTTTGAAGAACAACATATAAATTGGTCCTGTATAAACAGGCATATTAAAGAGGGCACCATTTAGCTTGCTTAATCTAGACAGGTGAAAGACAGAAAAAAGAATATGAGATCGGGAACAAATTGAGGAGATATTCCCTACAATCCCCAGAATAAGGCACCTGTCACTTGATCCTGTAAAGGCAGTTTTTTAAGGACATTAAGAGTTGTTTGATTCAATGAAAATGTTTCCTGTGACATTACCAAAGCATGGGTTACGCTCCACAGATGATCTGGCCTATGAGGGAAGAAATATAAGCAATCACCAGAGACAGGGAGAACACCCCATCACATTGGTGTTTTCTTTCAGGAATTTGCGCCCAGAAGGACAACTTCACTTTGATGTCTAATAGTCTCTCATACACATCCACAGAGAAATATGCTTCTAACTCCTTTTGAAATACTTAAAAAGAAATCACCAAAGGAACACAACATTCTGAGCTGGCCCCATAACCTATTTCTCTTCTTACTGGTCCCTTTATGTTCTGCAAAACACAGAGAATCACTTTTCATGGCTACATTTTCTTTTGCTCCTCCTCCAAGCCACCCTGTTGCAGTGCAAGGGGCAACCTCACAGATGACTGGAATGATCCCACAACACGGGATGATGCCAGCACTTGATGCAGCAATGGCTGCATTAATCACAGACAACTCACACAAAGCAGCTAAGCCTTACCCCCAAATGCACATCTCAGGCATTAGGGTTCTGGGAAGCAGGATGGTGGAGAACAGGGGGCACGGTCAGGGTAAGGACTGACCTTTCAGCAAAACAAGGTGGAGTAGCTCAGTGTGAAATGTCTTCAGGAAATAACAGTATAGAGTATTCTAGTCAGGTGGATAGTTACCACTCAGCTGGCATCAGTGTCCTGTTTGTCATTAACCAACTCCCAGACTGTTATTTTTCACGTAAAATTCCCTGATTTTTGCAACCTCTTAGCCATCTCTTTTGATATCCGAGAATTTTCTGCTACAAATGCTGCAGGGATCCTGATAAGTAAAGGTATATTTTTAAATCTGCAGAAAAATATTTTAAAACAGCTCTCTTAAGCCCCACTAATACTATCAACACTGAGCAAGGAACCACAATAAAGGATACTGAAGCTCCTATCTGTGATTGCTAAATGCCAGAGGTTAATCCTGAGATCATCCGCTGACATGTATGTCTCACAGTCACTGTTGACGGATATTGAGTTGACATGATAGGTGTGACCATTAGCAAAGATTCTCCGGGGAGTGACTTCTACCATCAAATCCATAGGTTTCAATACAGGCACCTGCCAAAAAACCAGAACACAAACCAGAAAGGGAGTAAGATTTTAAATAATTTTTTGCTAGGCTGATGAGTTTCAATGGAGAGCAAGCATTCAAAGACTGTGACATTATAAAACTTCTCGACAGTGTATGCAAGCTGAATTTCCCCATGGATGAATTGCTGGGCAAGACCATCCCTGCCAAGGAGGAAGGGAGAGGCAGGAGAACCGTGGAGAGCCAGGCAGAGCGATGGAAAGCCTGGGCTGCGGGAAGGGAGGCACTGGCAGCTGCCACAGTACAGGCCAGGCCCACAGCAGGAGCAACTGTCCCACATATGCAGGAGGCTCTGGCTCTGACAAGCCGTGAAGTCCTAGTATTTTGCTTTTACTAGAGTTTGCTGTTAATTGTAAATCACTTACACTATTTCTTTTGCTACTTGATGTCTCTCTCTCAGAAAAGTCAAGTGGTGAAAAGGTTATAATCTCAGCAAAACATAATAAATGAAGCCTTGGAAAACAAAGCCACCATGTGTATTGACATGCCATACATACACACATACTCCTGAAAAGCCAAGACCGCAGACTATCACTCATCATTGCGCCCCTATTATTTCCCTGTGTGTCACTTCAGTGTCATGCTTCAATAACTAGACACTGTCAATTTATTCCCTATTGGTAAAGCATTAAGCACTGTAAGGCTGTGGTCCATGACTGGGACTATTCGATGTTGAACATGCATCAGAAACAATCTATCACACATCAATCCACAAGACAGTTTAAAGAGGAACACAGAGAAGTTGAAGCTTTGAGTTTAGCTTGCCACTAAAGGAGCAAAACAATGGTCAGCTCAGCCGTTGAATTCTCACTCTATAAGCAATCTGGAATGGTTTTGTTTGCCTAATCATACAGAGTAGATAAATACTACATTAATGTAGTAATCTTTACACTTTGGAAGCTTTTTTCACAATAGACAATATTGGCTTGTTTTGGAGGTGGCAGTTGTTTGTTTGTTTGTTTGTTTTTAATAATAAAGTAATACTAGCGTTTATACAACATAGCCTTCCAGTTCTAACCTTTAGCCACTTCCTTTGCCAAAACACCTGGAGTGAATTCAGCCATTAAAGTCTGAGAGCAAAAATCTATTACCTTATCATACAAGCTTATGAGTTCCATGACTGCATTTGTTCAGCAATGTACGTTCGCTTGAGCACATACTACTGCAAATCCCACTCTCCTGACAGGAGATAATTCTTTTATACTACTGAAATAAAGACAAGACTGAAATTTGGTATACTGTCTTTAACTCAGTTGCTCTGAATGAGGCAAGAACGCTGTTTAATATTAATTACAAGTAGAATGCTTGCAGCACACCAGGCTAAAGAATCCTGTGTGAAAGCACGTCAAGTCACACTGACAGAATTTTATCAGGAAGATTAAAACTGACATAAACTCTCTAAACATATTTGTGTTGGTCACTATATCATAAAGCATTTGTGACTTGAAAATGCATGACAGATTCAAGACCGTTATCAGTCAGCTAAAACTTCAATGAGAATAATCATATATATGCTTAGCATTAGGTACATATTTAAATCTTTTACTGACTTACCACCCATGACTACCTTCTTGGTACAGAAACAACTGGATTTTGGACAAAGACAGCAGCTTACCTGCAGTGATGTTACTGTAGAAAGATCTTTAAGTTTTCCTTCTTCATCTTTTAAGTTGTACCCCTCTGGTCTCTTATCTCTTTCAGTAATTTTCCATAACTTGATTGTTTTGTCTTTAAAAGAAAAGACAAACAACTGTCAGCACAGGAATTCTGAATGTGATTACTCACCTTTCACAATATATTCCTTAAAGAAGTTTCTATACCTTGGTTTAGACAAGTCCTGTGCTGAAACAGTCTGGGTCACTTAATTTTGCACATCCAGAACATGTGGCCAACAGAAAAAGTACTCATCCCATACCTTCAAACCAAGTCAGCTGTTCCTGGAAGCTGACAGACCATGTAGAGCATGTAGAGCACATGCTGCTCTCGTATCCAGCTTGGCAGTTTGCAGGTGGAACAGACCAAAACCACTCAATGCTCACTGCTGAAGCTCAGTTTGACAATTTGACTTTGCAAGGAAATAATCTTGATATTAAAGCCAGTTTGCTAGGTTACTTATAAAGAGCACAAGAAGAGCATGTAGTAGACAGACAGATCAATGATACCTGCCTGGCCCACTGTGGGAATGGGCAGTGGTGCATTGGTGTAACATCAGGAGCTCGAGCAAATAAAAGGCTGTGTGAAAAATGAGACATTTCTCCCTCCTAAGGGAAAGCAGCTGAGAAATAACTGAGAAAAAAACCTAGAGAACTGTGTCGTAAGGGTAAGAGAAAGAAGTGGGGAGAAAAATAGATTAATCTTACATGGAATGGAATGGAATTAAATCCAAACTCTCTCTTTTCATGATGGGTGAAGCATATGATGGATAAGGACACCTCTTGTTTAGCAAAGAGCCTCTGAAGCCAACAAATAGAAGTTTTAAACATTTCAGATGGAGTTTGTCCTTGGTTTTGTAGTAGCTGAAACTGCAGATTTCCTTAACATTGATCATCCACTCCCACTCCACTAATGCACCCAACCTGCCAGCCCTAACACTCCCAACCTGCCAGCCCTACCACTCCCTGGGCTGAAAAAATCAATGCCAGCTCTTCTCCTGAAAAAAAATCTGTCCCCAAGCTTCTAACGATTGTTTCACTTATCTGTTCATGGAGCAGCCCAAGCCTTTACAAAGCTTCTGGTCTTCAGCTGACATCACAGCTTTCATAAACCTCGGTTCCTGCATCATTTCTGACTTCGTCCCACTTTCTTCCTTTACCCCTCTTTCCCCAAGTACATAGCAGAGCACAATTCTTTCCCCACTGTGGCTGATCCAAATACTTCTTTCGAATGCTAGTACAATCATTTTAAAGGCAGGATATATGAATACACGAATCACTTTGCATTTCTATAGTAACTTTAACTTTGACCTTTTTTTGTTTTAAAATCAATCCCTCCTCTACTCTAAGTGGCTTTACTATTATGCATCTCCTAACGATATTGATATGCTAATTTTCAAGCAAGAGAAATATTACAATTGATCAATCTACAGAATAAGAGGTTAGTTCAATCTGCAACTAAAAAGCTCCATTTACAAATGAAATGTATTGAATTTTTATCGGTCACATTAATTAATTACTAAAAATACATATAGGCCGTGTCATGCACTTGGGATTTTTATTAAATGTAAATAGTGCATTCCT